AAAAGATCTACATTGACAGGTGTGATATCAACCCATTGACTAGCTTGATCCTGTTATTCTTCTCTAAGCTCGTACAGGAATAAGAATAGTCCACTCTATAAAGGCAAGGGGTCTATCTAAATCCACATGGTTTTAAGAAGATTCATGTAAATGTACATGTAGGGCTTACAATTGAAATATTACAGAAAGGATTTTTTTTTTTAAGGGTAGCATGAACAAGTTTGAAGTTCTGTATTATTCATCTTTCATTCACGTTTGGACTTTGTCACTTCCTGAATAGAGCTATTACTCTGGGCAGTAGCTACTCTTTATGACCATTGGCTGTTTTTTAATGCCAATGATTTATGTCAGTGAAACAAGAGGATTGTAATGGTTTGTAATCACGTCCATAAATTATGAGTGAAACGTAAACATTTGGCCTCGCTTGAGATAAGGCCTGTAGCTCTTCCCTGTCCAGAGGTCAAATCCAACATGTCTATTTAGGCCTGTCATCATCAGCTCGAGATTGCCTAATAACCCGCTATTTTAACTATCCCGATCGCAAACTATCCAGTTAATTTCTGTCTTCTTCAGCCCAAAGTTGCAATTAGCGGGATATTTGGTTGAGATTATCATCCAAATATATCTTGGGCTAGTTTGCAAAATATCCTGCTCTTTGTCTGGTGCGTCTCCACCAGCCCGAAGACTCGCACTATGCATGAAGTTTGTGAACGCCGCGAAAAGTATCTTGAGCTAGAGTTTAGAGTTTCGAGCAGATGAAGACGTGATTAGTAACTTTGGGCTTATTTCCCAAATCAGAAATAGCGGGCTGTTTGGCAATCTCGAGCTGATGACGACAGGCCTTTTTTAGTAGTAAAATGATGAATGGACAAAATTATACTCCTCTAGGGCACCTTCACACTACCAAACAGGTGTGAATCACATGTGTATGTAACTATGTACAGCAGCCTGAACACAACAAAATGCACAAGATACACATGGTGTATTATAATGGTGCATTCATAACAAGAGAACATTTATAGGTACAGGTATATACATGTATAATGTATTGTAGGCAAAAAAAAAATAAAAGTACCACATCCATGTACATTCACTCAATTTAATTTAATATATTTGGCATCATTAAAACTATGCAAGTACACTTTACAAATCATATAATAATATGGAACTGGAAGCTGAAATATCATCAATTCATTTTAACTGGAAGTACATGTACTGTACATGGTTGTTGGTTGTTTTGTATCCAAAAAATATTGATAGTTTGTTTACCTGCTTTTCAGAGTACAGTAAGCTTCATGTATTTAAGAATTTTAAGAAGTTTCTCCTCGGTCTCTTTATTTGTTTGTTTTTTTATTAAAAAGTCCAATGAAATAATTAATCTTGATTCTAAAAATGTGTTTAAAATGAACAGTACACATCAATACTGAATTTCCATAACATTGTGAACCATCTGTACAGTGTAGATATTCTTGTTGATCTAAAAATAGCAACTTTACACCTGGCAATGATAAAGTACTGTAGGTGGTTAAGTTAAGTCCCGAAAGGATTTAAGCATTCAATCTTTGACCCCTGATTTTACTGAAATTCCCTTCTTTTTTTTTCTCTCTTTTTTTTCTTCATGTTTTTTAAGAAACATATTTCAAGAACAGCCACTTTATGCTAGTGCTGTAGTCAAACGTTTAACCGTCCGGTATCCGACCGCCCATGGCGGATTCCGTTTTCAATTGGACGGTTTCGTTTTCCCGATTTTTTTTTTTTTTTTTTTTTTTTTTTAATATTTTTTTTTTTTTTTTTTTTTTATAATTTTTTTTTATTTTTATTATTTTTTTAAAGTTTCGATTTATGCCCCTCCACCTGGCACTATGCCTGGCAATGTCTCCCAGCTCAGTAATCTGTGTGTTGACTCACCACTCCAAAACTAGAACAACACTCCAATTTGTCTGTCATCTTGGTTTGAAAGTAATCTTTGTAATAGATCTCATCATCTCAATATGTAGTTTATAATAATAATTCATCCAACTTTTACACAAGGTTCTGTCCTAGGTCCTCTACTGTTTTTAATTTACATTAATGATCTTACACATTCTTCTTAAAACAACATTGTTACTATTATTTGTGACAAGTTCACAAGCACAAATCGGCCCCTTTAAATGCACCTCGCAGTTAAATGAAAGTTGCCGACAGAGTCGGTAAAAAAAAAAAAAAAAAAAAAAAAAAAAAAATTAAATTTTTTTTAATTTTTTTAAAATCGTTTAACCGAAAACCGTCCGGTTTTGACTGGCGGTTAAACGGAATTGGAGATATCCGTGATGTTACAGCACTACTTTATGCAGACAAACTGTTTTTTCGTGCAGTGACAAGTGACAAGTGACGGATTGCAGGAAAGTACTTTACAACTTGAAAAGCCATTCATATCGACATTTCTTCCTGTGATGTGGATAACAGCTGATGTGTACTGTAACTGCCTCTTGAAAATAACTTTGTAGAAGAACATCTGGTTTCACGATTTCAAGAGGTGATCAGATTTTGTGGAGGTTCACACCTCATCTTTATTTTCCTCAAAAAAACATGATCAGATTCAAAAACTTCCAGAAATTGTATCAACGAGCAATACAAGACTACATGTACATGTGCATGTACATACATTATCCCATAGAAATCATGTTATGAATATTCAGATACCGGTAAAGTAATTTGTCATGGTAATGTTTACACTTTCATTCTAGGAGACAAGCCAACAAGGCTATTGAAATTCCCTCCTCAGGAGCAGTCCCAGGTATTTCTCTTTTTAAAGGGATCGTTTAACAATGTTAAATCAGAGATGCATGGCCTTACATGTTATCAGTGTCTGTGACATGGTGTTATATTGAAGCCCTAAAAAAATTGCGCTTCAAAATGATCAAGAAGTGCCTCAAAAAAGTAAAAACCTTTGAGTGACTGGTTTTACCATACTTGTTTTCCCTAATAGACCGTAGTGTTATGAAAACCATTTGGCAAACGCAAAATTTGATTTAGATTTTCAATCATAAATATCTTGATTATAATCAGACAGGCGATCGGCTTGTAAAAGTCATGGGGTTCCTGACAGACCTAAGGGTATATAATTATCATTGCAGCATGAGCTAAATCAAGTTTTTTTTTTAAAGGATGTAGTACTTGCATACATGTGTAGGTTTAATGAAACACAAAAATGAAATACAATCTCCTCAGGCACCAATGTCATGGTAGAAAATGGTAGAACCATAAACCACAACATGTACAAGTTTGATGATCATTCTATTGCTATGGCAACTGCATTCCAGCGAGAAAAAAAAATATGTGGGAGCGATGAGAGATTTTGCTCTGGAAAGCTCCAAAATAGCTCTGGTAAACCAAAGAAGAGCTCCGGTAATATAACAATAAAATACTTAAATTTCAATGAGGGAAAATCACACTTTTACCATGTACACCAAGTCCTATAAGAGCTCCAACATGTACACATACAAAGAAGTATTTTTTTACACTGCTGGATTCAGTTACAGTACGGTACCTGTAGCAAAGATTTAAATAACACAACAATGCATTAATAGGTGAGATTGCCATGGCAACATGATGGTTATCATCTCTTCTGTGCTGTGATGTTGTTCTCTGATATCATTTTTAACTTTTGGTTACAAAATGAAGTCTACCAAAATTCTCTCCTGCCCTGCACGACCCACTAGGGTGAACAGTGTTTTCCAGTTCCAGAAATAGTCAAAGTTGAAAAACAACTTGAAGAGACAGAGACAGCGAGAGAAAGAGAGATATAGGGGAGAGAGAGAGAGAGAGATCTTGTTCATGTTACATTTACATACTGTATACTATACACACGTAATCTCGACAAATGGCAATTCAAATTGCAAATATCTTTAATACACCCTGTACATGTACATGTACTGTAGTTCACAACTGATATTGGTGTTATCAATTTAAAATATCATTCCAACCAGCAATTCTAATCTACAGTATATTTGTGCAAGCTTGGGTTTCTGCTTTGTTATCTCTGAAATTGATGGAGTTTGACCCCCTCTTCAAATATACAAGTTACACGTACCACCCAATGATACAATTACAACAGTATGAATTTCATTCAACTTCATGTACATGTATTGAGAAATTCCATGGCGTTTACCTCGTTATTTAGTTTTTTAATCCAGTTATTTACTTGTAAGCGTATCTTAGTATTTGATTTTGATCCACTGACTTTCACCATGATTTTACGTACATGATACTTGTGCATATAGATGTCCAAAACACAAGTGCAAGAGAACCTTACTTTATTTACAAAATTATAAACCCTTTTCATTTTCAAATTTGATAACCCCACAATATAAAAAAAAGTACCGGTAAGTCAAAAATCTCAAAAGGTATACCGGTAATTTAAAAAAGGAACAACACAAAAGAATGAGGTACAACTGTAGATCTAGACAGCATGAAAATATTTGTACATAAAACAAAAAGGGGCTAGACCTAGACCTATATCATTTTAAGTACTACTAGGTCTAGTAGTAGTAAAAATACAAAAACAGTAATACCATGTACCAGTTAACATATTGGATAGATTGCATGAAAACCATTCACAACACAAAACTACAAACGATTCAAGTTAAAACTAAATTTCATATCCGCCAGCGCCAGCACCATCTGTTCAACAATAATCATGAGAATGCAGGCTGTGAATTAGAATGAATATTCTTATTTTTAATCTCTTCCAGGTTCCAACAAATCGATTTTCGAGCCTGACCACAGCTTTAACTCGCAAGAATTCGACTCCAAGAAGATTCTTCTGACTATGATACTAGCTGAGTCTAAAACCCGGTCCTAGCACTAGCAGCTCCCTGCGGCCTGCCTGATGACTCGGCTGGATATCGGAACCCGGAGCGACACCGCTGCCTCGCAACACACGTAAACATGATGGCAAAGAGAAGTCGAATGAGGTTTAAAAACAAGTCAAATATAAAAATCTGTTGTTTCCAACTTACCACAAAATCTGTCACACTCTTGAGACAAGCTGCCATATTTCTTTACATGAATGTCCTTTTTATCCGAATAAAAGTCCCCTCAATTTCGTTAACAATTGTTATGACAATCATCGGAAACACTCTACGGAGGCGCGGCGGCGTATTTATGTAGGGCATTCATACGTTATGCAATACACGTTGTGCATTTGTGATACTATTGGTTTTCCCGCTGGGCAAACGGTGTGTGCCACTTGACGCTTGGTACGGGTTTCATTCATTCATTTACGGTATCAAGTTTCATTCTGTTGCAAGGTACATTAATCATTGTACGTTTTCTACAACTAAACTTCCACCCTAAACCTAACGGTAAAGCAAGAAGAAGTTCCTTTTTAATCATGAAATGACGATATTTTTTCTTGAGTTAGGTAAGATATGATTCAAATGTTAATCTTAACTTAATCTTAAATAATATTTAAAAAAAAGGTGTACAACAGGTAGGAACCACGGAGCATTTTCAAAAGTGGGTGGGGCCGGTTATGGAGATGAGCATGCAAGCAAGCATATTATTATTTTAATGCAATGCCACAGCATTTTAAAAGTATATTCTTACAAGTTTGGGGCTATACACACACCCCCCCCCCCCCCCCCCCCATTCCTCCACCCCTTTACACAACCGTGTTCCGAAGCCCCCTTTGAATACCAATAGAATGCAGGGAACTCCCTTTTAAAACCTCAATGGATTATTGTCAGCGCAGCGGACAGTGGTTGAATGAGGGCGCAAGACCAAAACCGCTGCTGAAAGAGAGTTGCGCCATTTGGAGAAAACATGTCGTTGTTTAGGCTGTTTTAGGTATCATTCATAACCGTTGTAAATTTGTAGGGCCTATTAATGTTTAGCCTGTAGAATTATTATTCTCTATATTTCATATTCATTCTCACCCTGCTGCTCAGCCTTTACAAAACATTGAATTTCTTTGAGGTGAACCTATTTATTTGTTTGCTTTCAAGTTGTATTGAGAGCTTATTTGAGAGCTAATAAAGCATAGAGGTGCATAACAAACCAGTTATAATTTAAAGTTTCCATTAATTGATATAATTGGTTGAAATTCACATTAAAAACTATGACGGAAGTCAAAGAAAAGGTTAGAATTGAGTGTCCATAATATATGGGCTAAAAGGCTCCTTTAATTTTTTTTTTTTTTTTTTTTTTTTTTACTGAGATGCTCATTACATACCCAAAAAGGCCAAATGGTTGTTTGCCACCACCACCTAACCGCCCCCCCTTCCTCGACGCCATGTCCATTTACGCCACTGATCAACTGTATGGTATGGTATTATTCATCAACATATCGCATGCATGATTTACAGAGATTTGATTTTAAAAAAAATTATATTTACAATTCGTTATTTAACAAAAATTCAACGAAAAAACTCAGTTAAACTCAAAAAGGGAAAAAATAAGTATAGAAAAAATGTGAAGCGGGAAGATAAAGAGAAAAGGAAAGGAATGTTGATGAAAAGGGAATGGAGAGAGAAGAAGAGAAGGGAGAGAGAGAGAGAGAGAGAGAGAGAGAGAGACGGGTGCCAGAGGAACAAAGAGAAGGAGGAACACAAACACAGAGCTGGTATAATATAAAACATCCAAGTTAGTGGGAATGCACTTCAAAGGAATTGATTTATAAAAAGTAATTTTGAGGCATGTAGACATTAATGTTGTTTGGTCGGTGAAAACCAGAACACTTGGAAATGATGAATTTCGTGTGCGCATATGCCTTCAAAAACATTAAATATCAGGATAGGTAATTTCGGAAGTCATCTGGAATGATACAACAGAGGTCGCCCTATAGTATCGACAGTGAAGAGTCTAAAGATTTATTTTAACAGGATCCCCATTTTTCACTTTATTATTTTTATATGTTACATGTCTATCATTGTTTTATAATGCCTTCTTTTGTTTAATCTTATGTATATGAGACAACCTTGTCATGTGAAATGTGGAACAATAAACTTAACAATAACAAAAACATGTATTTTCAGTCTATTATTAAATCAAATCAAATCAAATCAAACCAAATTATCTTCTTTTTTAGGAGTCAAATGAAAATGTCAGACTACCGATGCTCCTTCGCAGATAAAGGTGGGCATTATTTCTTCCTCCCTCTCTATCTTCGTCGCCCCCTTCTATCTCCCTCTCTCTCTCTCTCTCTCTCTCTCTCTCCTCTCTCTCTCTCTCCCTCCCTCCCCCTCTCTCTCTCCCTCTCTCCCTCCCTCCCTCCCTCCCTCCCTCTCTTCCTCTCTCTCTCTTTATTGCCCTGGAGTTATAATGAGGCTTGAGCCTAATAACTCATTGGTATTACTCCCCCCTTTCTCCCCTTGAGTGGGTTTCATATAAATTACGAGCTCTTTTTCGCTGCAAGATCAGACTGTAATTTAGACTGATGTGCATCGAAACCAACGAAGCCGTAAAATAATTTACGGTTTGAGAAAATAATGAGAGCTCTCACATTTGTAAACAGCCTGCTCCGAAGTGTGATGCTGTAAATTATCATCGAATCCACAAGCTTGGGGGCAGGAGTACTATACACCTACCCAAGTAGATAATAACTTGAAGAAAGGGGGAAGCATAAGGTAAGGTTCATAGGGTTCATATTCATTGTCCATTTAACAATGGAAATTTTTCGTGTTACATGGTATTACGATACACATAATATATATACATTCATACAAAAAATTAATAAAATAATTTTTCAGTTGACAGAAAACAAAAACAGAACAATAAACAATCAAACAAAGATATAGTCATGCATCAAAAATAACATACAATGTACTCTCTTTAAAAAAAAGAATGAATTTTCACTCTATTTTCACTTTCTTGGGATTGACGTCCGTGATCACCTGTTTAGGAGTGAAATCGATTGATTTTAGAGTGCTCTCTAAGAAGAAAAGAGTGAATGTTCACTCTATTTTCACTACATTTTCACTCTCCAGAGTCCAGAGGAGTGACGTCCGTGATCACTCGATTTTTTTTTAGAGAGTATACCAAGTGAGGTGAGATGACGATAATTTTTTACAAGCATGAGGCATAGATAGAGAGAGAGAGATAGAGAGAGAGAAGGGGGGGGGGGGTAATGCCCACGTCGCTATTATAATGATGTGTTTCTACATTTTTTGTAGATTCATCGAAGACCTAAAATTTTCCACTCATATTTTTTTTCTAGATCCTCTTTTGTCCTCTTTATTACTTTGTCATTAGGAGCACGTTTTGCTTGACATAATACCCATTTTTTTCCTTTCTTTCTTCACGCCCCCTCTCTTTCTCTCTCTTTCTCTCTCTCTCTCTCTCTCTCTGCCTCTTTCTCTCTCTCTCCCACTCGTGCCCCCTCTCCCCTTTTTCTTTTCTTTTTTTCTGTCTACTTCTCTTAGTATTTCTCTCTCTCCCTTTCTCACACCTCTCGTCGGTATTATCGGCCCATCACCGAGTTTTATAGCGTAATTATTACTTACGAGTTGCTTTTAGCTCATCACAGATTGTAATCTTGGGCTGACATGCCATCGAAACCGAAGAAGTAAAAAATAATTTATTGCTGGAAAATAGAGAGCTTAGCACCAACCATCCGGATTGAAATGACTAACGTGAATTAATGTTCCTGGCACTCGGTAATGCGTGCTCAATTTCGTTTTCAGATGATTTAAAGGTATAATAACGGGAAGATGTGCAGGGTCTAAAGATAAAGTTGAATTTTTGTCATGCGATTACTTTGTGAAAGAAACTGTCTGCAAGTAACTGGGAAAAGGAAATCTCAAGTGTTTATTTGAAGCCAGAAGGGCGTTAATTAATTTCCTTTTATACAGAGTTAACGTCCCTTTGGCTCTAAACAGACGAAATGTGGAGAACAGAAGTTTTGTCATTATAGACCGTCAAGTTGAAAAGTGTAAACATCGGGCCAAATTTCTCCTCCTCATCCGCCATTGGTACAGCTTTCCGTTTTGTTCTTCTTGAACTGCCTAGAGTCTTGAAATGCAGTCTACCATATGTGAACTCCTCGTGAGTGTTTCATCATCTCGCTTCATGTTGACAAATTTGCTTGCAGACTACCCATGGGTATCGAATCGAAAGCGATACCTACAGGGGCGTGTAGATTCTACTCTGCAGACTATCACCATCCTATAGGCTATCCAATATCTCTTTGGTCTATCACGGTCGCGTGCTGATTTATTCATCCATCATTATAGCTGCATGCAATTTTAACAATCATGGGCTATAAAAGAAGTCTCGTCAAGTTCTTTTTAGCGTGAAGTCAGAATGCCGCGCTCCGATCTTCTACTTACGGTTAAAAATAAATTGAGACCTATAGAAAATGAAACACTTTTTAAACATTTGTTATTATTACTATTATCATTACCATCACCACCATCACCATCATCACCACCACCAGCACCATCATCATCATCACCACCACCACCACCACCACCACCACCACCATCACCACCACCACCACCACCACCATCACCATCATCACCTCCACCACCACCATCATCATCATCATCACCACCACCACCATCATCATCATCACCTCCACCACCACCACCACCACCACCACCACCACTATCATCGTCATCATCATCATCGTCATCATTATTTTTTTGTAATCAATATTACTATTATTGTCATCATCATCATCATCGTTGTTGTTATTATTGTTCTTCTAATTAATTATTTTCTTTGTTAATATAATTTATTGATTTCTTAATTGGTTTTTGTTTATTCAGTTACGTACATGTAATCCCAAATTTACTCGACATTCAAAACTTACAGTGGGTAGAGCATTGAAGTTATACATTTCCATTTTTGGCGTGAAATGAGATCTACATTAGATATAAACTCCTTACAAGGTATCATGATGACAACAGTGGTGTAAAAATTGCTTTATTGTTTAGCTGTTTCGACTCCGGAGAGAGAAAAAAGCTCCTAACAATGAGTAATTAATCACAAAAAACTACAAACAGCAAATTATGATTCTGCAACCATATGGAGGATGTTGGCGGAGTAAGTAAACTTTTTCCTAGCAGGCGAGGCTTATTAGGGACTTTAAAGGTTTGTGCATTCATTCTCTAAATATGTCTACCGGTATATAAATTTAATGCACTGATTATCAAGAATATTTGTTGGGGGTGTGTTTGTTTTTAGCAAGCTCTAGC